ATGCCTACAGCCTAGCGCAGCCTTGGTGTACTCCTTTTAGCCCAAAGAGACTAAGAGGTGGGGTGTTCTAGAGGGAGTAACACAATCTCAGCTCTCTAATGTCTGCCAAAGCTGCGTGAGTTGTTTCCCAAACATGGTGACATACACCCAGCCACCTTCTCCTCGAGGACTTGCTTCTGAGCCAAAGCCAGCCATCCCTAAGCTGACCTCTGGCCTACGAGGTGGCCTGGCTTTAGAACTCCGACCCATGGGCTGAACAGCTTGAACCCTGTTCAGGGACCATGAATGGAGACCCACTGAGAAGGACTGGGGAGTTTTGTAAGATGCAAGAAACATGTAGAGAGCTGCAGGTTCCACGAGCCCTGGTTGTGTAGCTGTGGGATCACTTTTCTTCAAAAACATTTTTTTAAACTTTCTGTGTGTTTTAATGGTGTATTATTGCCTATCAATGTATCTCGAAGTTTGGTGGTCGAAAGCAATGTGATTTCTCAGGATTCTAAGGGTCAGGAATTCTCACAGGGCTCTGAGACTCTACTCCGCATGTGGTCAGCTGGGCTGGCTTATTCCTGCACTCAGATCATGCTGGAGCGAGCTGGAAGGTCCAGACTGCCTTGCTCACATACCTGGCTCCTCGGTGCCCCCTCTCTCCCCACGTGGCCAGCTTGGGCGTCTCACTGCTTGCTGGTTTGGGAGTAGTCAGACTTCTTGCATGGTGACTGCTTCTAAGAAGCAGGAGGAAGAGGCGCAAAGGCTAGTCTTGAAACAGACACAACATCGCTTTTGCCACATTTTGTTGCTCAAACCAAGGTATAGACCAGTCGAAATGCAAGGAGAGAGGAAAAAGATCTTCCCTCTGGATATGTGGAACAGAGTGTGCTCACAGAGAGGCAGAGAAGAGATGGTGGCCATCCTGGGAGACTGTCTAGCTGCTATGGACTGAATGTTGGTGTCCCCCCCAAAATTCATGTTGAAACTTGAATCCCCACTGTGATGGTATTTGGAGGTGGGGCATTTGGGAGGTGATTAGGGTTACCTTGGAGCCCTTGTGATGGAATTAGCACCTTTATAAGAAGAGGAAGGGACACAAGATCTCTCTCTCTGCCATATGAGGTTACGGTAAGAAGGCAGACATCTGCAAACCAGGAAGAGAGCTCTCACCAGACACGGACTCTGCCAGCCCCTGATCTTGGACTTCCCAGCCTCCAGAACTGGGAAAAAGAAGTGTTTGTTGTTTAAGCCACACAGTCTACGGTATTTTGTTATACGAGCCCAAATGGACTAAGATACCCCCACACTGTATTTTTGTAACAATGCACCTCAACACCCAAGGTATCCTGAGGGCACCCCTATTCCTTGCAAACTGACAGAGTCTGTCTAACTCATCAACTTTCTTGGCTGGTAATTCTTCCTCGTGACCAATCTCTATTGACTGGAGCCCTAATACATGTGAGGATTTGGGGAGGGGGCAAAATTTACAAATGTTACCGACCAGAGGGAGGTCATGCTCTAGTTGGGATGCACGAGTACAAAGATTTTAAAAAAGTAACACAAACTAGCTTTTGAAACAAGGAAGCCTAAAAGTAGAGAAGGAATGAACAAAAGATGAGGATATTTTAGAAGAAATTAAAAAGAAAAGCTGGTGAGAGTTTTTCAACGAAAGCCATGAGGATACGTCAATGTGTTTCTCTTATACGTATTAGGGAAAGCTCTTCTTAAATCACTTTTTAAGGGACCAAGTTTCTTAGCAGACTGGGGAGCTAAGACTCATTTCCTCTGAAGCTGAAATTACAAGTTTCGTAGACTTAATCAGACACTTAGTCATCGTTGCATGCAACAAAGAGCATGGAGTGCCTTCTGTGGCCAAGCACAGTTCCTGGCAGTGAAGGCACAGAGTGAATAATACAAGATGGAGAAGATCTATTCTCGTCGAGACTGCATTTGAAGTTCAGAAGGAGGGCAGCTCTCTTCTGTGTCGTGGACCTGGCTCCGTCAATGGGAACACCATATGCTTCCTCTTCATCCTCCTTCCCTCTCACCTCCTGCAACCTGCCCCTACACACAAACCCACTGCACACAGCTGCCCCCCGAGAGGAAAATGCTCTGATAACACACTCCCCCAGCTCCTTCCCCCTCTCACCCCTGGGCTGACTTGTCACCAGCTACTTCCAGCTGAAATGCATGGAGCCTCTCAGCAGGTGAGCTACCCTGGCTTTGCTTGAGGGGCAGAGATTTGGCGTTTTTTGTTTTTGTTTGGAAGACCAGCTCCCATCAGCTCCCGTCTGGTGGCCATATGTAGCCACCCTGGCTTCCCATAAACCACTGTAATGACAAAGCCCGGCTCATAACATCATTTTAGTTTTCCATAGATGGGCTAATTTGAATTTGAGATATGTTTTATTCATCGTGTTAAGAAGATGGGACCCTCAAGTCAGGTTAATCTGCTGTTACATGTTTTTGCCATTCATACACCCAGGGAGTCTTTCTGCTTCTGAAGCTTTCCACACCTTGCCCGCTCCCTGAGGCCCTAATTTGGGGGCAGGCTTGGTTCCTTCCACCCCTTCTATCAATCGTTTTTGCTCCTTATGCAAACACAGACAGTTTGGTCATTATTCTAAAAATAGGTGCTTTCAAGGAGGCTGGTAACCAGTTTATCTTGTTTTTTTTTTTCCATAGCTGTTTTTACTTGTAGCAGCAATAACGAAACGTGCCCACTATTTTTCAAGGCAGTAATATGGTTCTCGCACTGATAGAAACAACTCACCTTTTGGCCTTGTAGTTTACTCACTGGGGAGCGTGATTATTTTTTTTATTGCCTTGTAAAATAGCTTGCCTGTCACATTATAGCTTAATTGGGAACACAAAATAATAAATAATTTAAAATAGGAAAATTGCCGTCTATACAGGGAGGAGAAGAAAAAATGGCCCAGATAAGGTCCCTCTGGTGTCACTCAAAGGTTCCAGATCCTAGTGCTTTCATTAATACTTGGCACCGAGGGTGCCTTTGAAATTTTCTGAAGTTGTTCCTACCTCTAATTTTTCAGTAAAAGTGGTTCAAATGGTCTTGCTTTTCTGGAAGCAAATTGAAAATTTTTGTCATCAAATTATTATTATTTTTCTTTTAAGACTGGCCCTGACCTAATATCTGTTGCCAATATTGTTTTTCTTCCTCTTCTCCACAAAGCTCCCCAGTACATAGTTGTATATTCTAGCTGTGGGTCCTTCTAGTTGTGCTATGTGGGATGCCACCTTAGCCCTATGTCTGCGCCCAGGATGCAAATTGGCAAAACTCTGGGCAGCCGACGTGGAGCTCACAAACTTAACCACTCGGCCGCGGGGCAGCCCCTATCATCAAATTTATTCAACATAAAGGATCTTAATGCCTCTGTACTTCCATTATCTTGTCTCTGAAATGGGTGATAATAATCGTACCAACATCCCAAGGCCTCTGAAGGGGCTTCTATAGGCTAATGAGTGTAAAGCGCTTCTCACAGGGCCTAGCACAGAGCAAAGACTGAATAAATGTCAAGAGTAAAGAGAGTCCAGTGCTTTCCTACCAACTTAGACCTTCTGATACTAATAGAACCAGTGCCCTTTCCTGGAAGAATGGCTTTGGCCAACCAAAGGGCTGACCTCTGGGAAAAGGAAGAGAGGGGCTGGGTGGGACCTGGCACCCTTTGCACTGTCTCCTGTGATGGTAAGTTTGAGGTGTCAACTGACTAGGTTGGCTAGGTTGTGGCCTTCAGTGTTTGGTCAAACACTAGTCTAGATGTTGCTGTGAAGATATTTTTCAGATATGATTAACATTTGCAATTAGTTGACTTCAAGTAAAGCAGGTTACCCTTTAATCTGAGCCTCATCCGATCATTGAAGGCCTTAAGAGCCAACACGGAGGTTTCCCTGGAGAAGAAATTCTGCCTCAAGACGGCAGCATAGAAATCCTGCCTGAATTTCCTGCCTTACAGATTGCAGATTTGCCTCCCCCACGATCACATGAGCCAATTCTTTAAATTAATTCTCTCTCTATATATAGACATATATCCTATTGGTTTTGTTTTTCTGGAGAACACTGACTAATACCCTATACTCTTGTTCTATTTGAACTTATTTTTAATCATATTCATGTATTATTTTCTTAAAAGAAGATACTGGATTTCAGGGTGCAGATGGATGGGAGGCAAACTCTTGGATGCTTCTTCATTCAACCCCCGAGCCGTGCGGTCATGGAGATGGCCTACCACAGACACTCCAGGAGTCCCTGGGGGTCTAAGGGCAGGGAGTGTCCCCTTGTGGCTTCCTGCCAGGCACGTGCTAACTAGACTCCAATTCCTAAAGCTGCAGTGGCTCCCACGTAGCGTCAGTTGTCAGAATGTGAAATGCGGTTTAGTGATAATCTGGGCCCTATCGTCCATCATCAGGAAATCAGGAAGTTGCTGTAGTGGAATATGCGATCTTGTCTCTACAAGCTCTTGATCTTTTGAAGTGTGGGGATGGTTTTGGGGCACACCAAGCAACTATTTATATCTGAGTAATGGAGGGAGGGGAAATCTAGCCATTCTACTAAGTGTGTAGTCCTAACTTTTCTGAGCCTCACTCCTTCCTGAAAATGAGAAAGTTGAAAGTATGTGATCTTTTAAACTCATTCTCAAGTTCCACAGAGTGAGAAATGCCCGTGGATACGGGACTGCCTGTCCAGCTGTTGCCACGTGCCCTATGCAGCTAAGAGCATCTCCTTTCCTGTGAGCCTTGGTGCATGTGACTGGTGGGGCAGGGAACAGACGCTGGTTCCAGCCCCACCCAACATCCCTGGTTGGGCTGAGGAGCAGCGCGTGAGGTGGTTTGGCTGGAAATGGTTGGGCAGCCAGAGGTGAGGTGGGAAACCAGACACAGGCCTGAAGTTGGGGACTCAGGAAAATGCCGAGTAATTGGCCATGGCAAAGCGGAGATTAGCAAGAGAGCTGCACGCAAGAGGAATGCGACCCTTTATACGTCAAATGCCAACATTACATACAATTTATTGTCTGGAACTTTATCTGTTGCAAACCGCTAACTGATGTCATCCTGTTGGAATTCCGTGGCACTTAGTTCTACTGAGCGGCGACTTTGTGCTGGGTACTTTGCCTGCCTTATCTTACCCAATCTTTACAGCAAACTTAGGAAGTTGGTATTATTTTCCTAATTTTTACAGGTGATGATACTGATTCCCAGGATCAGATATTAAACTGGGAAGTGGTGGAGCTAAGATTCTGACTGTGGACTTTCTGACTCCACACCCACAGACAATCCACTACACCCCTGTGTTGTGAATGGTTGAACAAAGAATGAATAAATGAAGGCATATTTTGACGGCTTCTTTGATCATTTACAACCATAAATGACCCCATCCCTTGGACGGCATATTTGGAAGCAATGTTCACATCTGCGCTTGTAAGGATGGGGAGGGGCCTTTAGCCAATGCGGCACTTGGGTCTTGCAGATTCTCTGAGGGTGGGAGGAACGCAGAACCAACTCCATCCTTTTAGCCTGAGAATTGGCCAAGCAGGCTTGGGGAGCTGACAAACGGTGGAAAGGTGGTGGTTTGAGACACAGCACAGAGCCACCCATATGTAAATGCTTACTTCTCTAATTCTTTGTCTTTTCCCATCCTGGGAATTGGTGGCAAAAATCCCCCCCTTCAGCGTGGAGCTGACAGGCCTGGTAGATGAGGTGAGTCAGATCAACTTCACCATCGGCTTCATCTCATGGTTAGTCATGAGTGCTGGTCCTGATGAACAGTTTTTGAAGAAAGCCTGCATGACTACAGGGCCTGACTCAGGAGTAAGGGATGCACACAGTGGCTCAGGTCTGGCAATCAGAGGAGCCTCTTATCTGGGCCTTGGGAACAAAGAAAGCAGGTCCCCTTAGACACACACACACACTCCTTTTCTACTGAGAAAGCCCCTCTCTGAGAAACAGAGGTGGGACCTTGTCTCCAGAGAGTCATTACTAAGTTACACATTTTACCCAAAACAGCAGAGAATTGTGGGGAGTGAGCTGGGCACTGTCGCTAGAGTGGGGTGCCTTATCAAATCATCTTATTGGAGCACACAGCAGAAGGGCCTGCTGACTCCCTAGCTTCTGTGTTGAGGGTCAAGCAGAAGAGCTGGAGCCCAAGAACGGGCAGCATGGGGCGGCATGGGGTGGCACCCAGTACTGGGCTCAGCAGCCGGGCAAGGGTGAACCCGAGCGCAGAGATCCTTGCGATTTTCCAAATGGGAAATGTGCGCATTCAATGCTTTGGATGTTTTTGGGGGAGGGGTTGCAAACTGGGAAAATTATTTTAAAAATGAGAACTTACGGCCAATTAGAGGCATAAACTGATTAGTAATGCTAGTTTTGAAGAATTTCAATAAAATAATTTAGGTTTTCATTAAAGTTATAGAATTACGTTTTCTGTGTGAATATGGATCAAATATACTGTGAAAATGGTGACCGTGCACCTCATCCCTCCCATCTGTTTGGTTTGTCTTCAGCATGACATGGTTGGAGGAGGCCTGGGGAAAGTGGATCATGAACTCCCCACGCGCTTGCTGTGTGGTCTCAGGCAAGTTGTTTTACCTCTCTGAGCCTCATTGCCCAACTCTATGAAACGAGCAGACTGAATTGGATGAGCTTTCTGTTTCCTTCTAGGTCTGAAATTCTGTGATGCATCCATAACTTGTCTGGCTGTTTGCTTTTCCTCTGATCCTATTTTTGAATCAGCAATGGGGAAGAGAAAAGGCAGAGGGAGAGCAAAAAAAGAGAGAAATATTCAATAAGCATTAAGCAAGCACCAAGCACTGTAGACTCCGTATCTCATTTAATCCTAATAATCAGTGTAGGAAGCTCGTAGTATTATTGTCACCATTTTACAGGTGTGGGCTTAGAGGTCTACATTTGTCCAAGGTTATCCAATTAGTTGTGATCAAGCTGATCACTCAAACCCACATCTGGGCGACTTGGGAAAGCCTGTTCTTTCCCATGCGCATGTTTTTCACCATGCTGCAGTGTGTCCCAAGAGGGGTAGAAAAAGAGGGGGACAAAGTGAGACTGGGGCAGGGGGAGAAGAAACGTGAGATGCTGAAGGACCAGAGGAGACGCACATGATGTAGACAAACTATGGGATTGATGGCTCCAATGCAATGGTCTGAATCCTGTTCTCACTCACTGCCCCAGAGACGGCAACACATTCCCCATGGGCAGCCGGGGCTCCTCCGGCTGCTCCTTGACAGACAGGCAGGCACTCTGGGCCTAGCGGGATTCACTGGGACACGGTGGGGATTCCAAACGCCCTCTTGGTACCTCTGACATCGTTGTGGAGACGGTTTAGAGACACAGCAAGGGCGACAGGCTAATTAGGGAAGTGGGGAGGAGCAAAGAGAGAGATCTACCTGCCTACTCTTCTCTGTAATATGTCTCTAAAGTTAAAACTGTAGGAACAATTCTAAGAAAGCAAACCTTTACATGATAAGGCTTTAGGTCCACCAAACTAATGTATAAAGTGCCCTTCTGTCACTTAATTCTGTGGTCTTTCACATGTCCCAATTCCCTGGGTTTGAGCAGATTAGGCATTTCTAACAGGGCTTGGGATGTCTGCAGGAAGTGGCTCCAGTGCAGGACTTGGCTCTCATGCCTTTGAGGTGATATGGAGCCTATTTCCCAGTACTTAGGGGACAATTGTTGGAGGCGGAGTTTTAAATAAGAGGTAAACCTGACTACGGACTCTCAAGGCCCCTTCTTTCAGAGCTCGGAGGTTAATGCGCACGTCTCCTCCATCCCAATGAAGGTAATTATATCTTTCATGTATTTCTCAGTTATCCCTGTGGGTTCAACAAGCTACACCATCACCCACTTCCTGTCTTTAACTAGAAAGCGTCCACATGTGGTACAGCCCCGCCGCTGAAGAAAAAATATTTCTGGGTTTTCTCCAGATGCGACCTTACCTTCTTCTCCACTCCAGCCCTCAATTACCTTGACATTTTCACCTGACGGTGCTTGTTTGACTCCTCAACTGTGGCCTCAAAGAAAAGCAAATGTCAAGTTTCGGTCTCCTTCATGAATCGGGATTTGCCTTTTGTTGGTTCCTGAACAAAGGGAGACAGGTGACCGGGAGATAAAATGCGAAGGGCAGAAGGCTGCCTCCCTGGTCAAATGTCCCTCCCCTGCTGGGATCCAGGTTTGAATCTGGAGGATGTTCAGCAGGATCCCTGGCCTCCACTCATGAGATGCCTTGGCACCCCCTCTCCCACTGTGACACCACAAAGTGTCTCCAGACATTGCCAAATGTCCCCCGGGGGCACAACTGCTTGGTTGAGAGCCACTGCTCTAGATGGGTTCCCTCCTCTCCTGGCCTCGTGGATGGACTTTTCTTCTTTAAGGATTTGCCCAAAGTAACTGTAACCATCCAAACCGCTACGGCTTACCCAGGGAGAGATGACCTACTTTCAAACAAAAGCCATGTCAGGCCCTGGTGATTGCAAGGGTCCCTCGGGGGACTCCTAGGGCTCCCTGGAGCAGCTTCTCTTGTCTCACAGTAGAACGGCTGTCATGGATCTGCCAGGAAGGACTCTCGGAGGTGGGGCTCAGGTGAGCTGATGTAGGACCTCGACACAACCCAGAGATGACACTTATAGGGTCACCAACAGTCCTGGTTTGCTGGGACTTTCTTGGTGATAGCACTGCAAATCCTGTGTTCTGGGAAGCCCCTTAGCTAGGGTGAACCTGGACGGTTGGTTACCAGGTAGCTTCTTGGTTTGGTTGTCTTTCAGAATGTTTGAGGCTCTGAGATAGAGATGGTCCCTCAATTGCCAGCAAGAGAGAAGTGGGTCTTAGGCCCAAGTTCTTGATGGACTTTAGGGAGCAGGGGACATCTCAGGCTCAAGATGCAAATGTTCCTTTGCTTTAGGAAATCAAGGAGTTGCTAAGAGGTGAGATTAGGTGAGCTTCCAAAATAAGGGGGTGGTTGGAGTAGGGGGTGGAGTGGGAATCTGTTATTGAGCTCCTGCTGGAACCAGGGTCTCTTCATGCCAAGACCCATAGTGGTTTCCGTGGGCACCCAGGTCCGCATGCTGCAGCCAGCGGCAGGATGGGCGGCAAATGCCAAGTGCACGTGTGTCATTGTGCAGTCCTCACTGGAAACCTGCTCTGCCAAGTGCCACAGGTGAGGTTTCCAGCCTTTGTTGTCCTGAGCCTTGTTGAAGCTGTGGTTGCGGAGGCCCCTGGGGGCTTGTGAATGGTTTGCAAGCACTTCTGATCTGGGGACCTGCTCTGTTCTCCTGCCCGCTGTTTATGATCTGGAACGGCGTCTCCAGTCCCACCGGGAGCATATTTACCGCTTATATCTTCTCTCCTGGCTGTGGTTTTTGTTTCTCTTACATTTAAGCTTTTCTAGATTTCTTAAGGTTTAAAGGAAAAAATATTCTCTTTTTTTGAAGGAGGAATGATTGATTTCTTCCCCCCGTAAATTATGTAGATGGAGATATGTCTGCACTTGGTTAGTCTCATGTCTACCAAGATGTCATTACTTATAGAAGAGCCTGGGATTTTCAAGAATAGTAACATGGTAATTTGTCTTTCAAATACTGTTTTACTTATAGCAGCAATAACAGGAAATGTGTACTATTTTTCAGTGTTATAATCTGATTCACCCTTTGATATAAACAGCTTTATCTCATCTCATTGTTTACATCACATTCCTATTCCTCTGGAAAGAACAATATTTTCCCCCCTGAAAAGTAATATATTCTTGTCTAAGAAGGGCTTAAATAAGTAACAGATGGTCCTTTTTGTATGTGTCCCCTACCCCCACTCATATTCAACATTTGATCAGATATTAAAATCAGTATCTTTTGAAACATTGCATGTGCCTGAACTTATAGGTTTGTTTCCAACTTGGCTGCTTTTATTTATGTGATGTAGTGTTGCTTGGATGGTTTTAGAATATAAGCAATTGAATAAATTTATTTGCACTTGTCAAATGGAATGTGCTTGAGCAAATCTCTTTTCTGGTTCATAGTTACCCAGGATCGTCATGGGAAAGACAGATGAGAACACTCAGGGTGCCACATGATCTTGGCCGTAAAACTAGGCTCTTGCCATCCGACTTATTTATAACTTAGTTCTAATGTTAAAATTTGTTCTGGGACCAGGACTGAATCTTTCTTGTCAACACGAAGTTTTATTCCTTGGCTTGGTTCAGGGGAACCTCACATCTTGGTTCAGACACCCCAAATCTGTTTTCCTATTGCAGTATAAGGATACCTGCCAACCGCAAGGGTTGCCATGAATGTAGCATGAGATAATAGTTAGGAAGGTGTTTTAAAAAGTCAAAAGCACTTTAAGCCTAAGGTATCATTTTTTAGATATTAAAATCAAGCAATTAACTGCATATGTTGCATAATCATAGACTCTTATCCGTACCATTGTGGTTGATAGCTTAGCCCTGTTTTCAAACGTACTTCTTTCAAAAGATACCTTTTCTTTGCAGTGAGAGCTTCAAGAAAAGAAATACAAGCAAATGTCTATGAATTGTCACCCCAGAGCAGGGATTGGGGGCAAATTCATTGCTGTGCTTGGATCCCACAATCCTTGCACCCAGTAGATGCTTAAATGTATATTGCACAAGAATATGAATATTGTTGTAGATAAGCTATCCTAAGTTTTTTTACAACAACCTTTGAATTTTGAAGGTGATACAATTTTGTCCCCTCTGTTTATCCATTTTTATCATCATTGAAATTCCTTTTTCCCTAGTAGATAGAAAGTTGAAGTCATGATCCTCATGTTGATATCTTCTCTTAGTCTACTTGTTTTTGTAATCTGAAAATAATGTTTTTTTATGTCATTACAAAGTTTATACATGATTACTGTAGAAAATTTGAAAAATAAAGACTTAAATAAAGAAATAGCCACCTATTATCCCACAAGTATCCTGGGAACAGGCCTCCAACATATATTGGTAGTATATAAAACAAGCAGCACACATAGCAATATTTACAAACGGTAGCAATTACATAAGAAAAATATGTGTGTGTATGTTTTCTGAGTGTGTATACCTATGTATATGATTGAATAATAAAGGCAGGAAGGATGCATTCAAATGCACAGCCTATGTCTGGAGAAATTCAGAGAGGAAAATCCTCGTGGGCAGGAATGTTTGGGAGCAGTTTTATGGAGGAAGTTGGATTGGAGCTGAGCCTTGAAGGACAGGTACAGTTTTGATGAAGAGAGGAGGCTGGTAGGCATATTCCTGGTGAGGAGCAGCGTAGGAACAAGGGCGGTGCGAGGCATGAGTGCGGCGTGGTTAGGGTGCTTGAGAAGGCTCCTCTGTCGTTACACTGTGGAGAGCTGAGACAGACGCTTGGGAAGCTGAGCTGGGGAGACTGTGGAGGGATGTGAATGCTGACTTGACACAGTGAGAGCTTTTAAGCAGGTTAGTAACATGAAACATTAAGATTTCTTGAAGACCGATCAGGTGGTGTTTAAGTAGAATGAATCGGGGAAGAGTTGAGAGATAAGGAGATGAATCAGGAAAGGACAGTGATAATCCTGGTGTGAAATGACCTGTGACCGGAGAAGGATAATGCCCCCGGGAATAAATGGAATGGATGAAGGCAGACGACATTCTGACCAAGTCATAGGACTTGGTGTCTGATCAGACACGGGCACGCAGGAGAGAGAGAATCTAAGATGCTAGCTACAAAGTTTAAAGCCTCAGCGACTGTTTGAAATGATGGTGCTATTGAAAGAAGTAGGGAAGACAGATACTGCGCTGTATATAAAAAAAAAACTTTATTATATTTTTTACTGGAAAAGATCTAAATGTCAGGAGTTGGTGCGTGGCTTAAATTGTCAGGATTTTAGACTGCTGGTTCTTGGAAGTCTGAAATAAAATGCTGAAATGTGGTATGTTGCTGCAAATTAGGTTTATTGATTTGGTATTGTCAAGAAATATAACACCTCAAAAATAGGTGAACTAATGAAAAAGTACCCCACTGGCAGATGTTGGTGCAACTGTATGATTTTCTAGTACCAAAATATACAAAAAGCTAGCAGTGTTGATGCTGGTATAAATTATATTGAAAGCAACCTTTTCTTTTCCAAGACCATTGGATAAGAAATATATGTTTACCTGCCATCCCTACTCCTACCTGTGTATTGATAATGCATATGGTGGTTCGTAACGGTATATAAAAGAGAACAGATGACACTCTCCATTCTTCTGTCAATGGGTTTCACAGATATACAATGAGATCTTGATTTATTTTGACTCAGGAAAAGGGAGATAAAAACTAGAGGCTGTGATCTGGGTGCTCAGGACAGAAGGACAGCTCCAGAGTCAAGGATGACCAAGAGAGATCTGGAAATGTGTTTGCTGGCTTCCTGGAGTGCTCGTGAATTTTACTGCTTATGGCCCAACATCGCCTTCAGGTCAACACAGCTGTCCTTTCGCGGCAGGAGTTGTGTTTGAGAATCTGGTGGGACTTGGTGTTTTTCAGGATATTTATGTTGTTTGTGGCCTCTTACAGTTGTCTATCATTTATTTATTTAGCTGGGATTGTGCTGCAAAATATTTTTCACTGATTAAATTAATATATACTATGAAAAAGATACAAAGTTAGCATGTTTAACTACCAAGTTTAGCTTTAAAATATCTTAATAAAACTACATGTTAGCACATTTATGATCATAATAAGAACTAATATGTTTTTACAACAAGACGAACTAAAATATTTGTTACTATTATCTTTGCCTTAACTTAGTTACCGGCCCTTTAAGAATTATGCTTTAAAATCGTTAAGAGGTAAATCGATTTTCTATCTTTTTCTATTAATTAGAGACTATTTCTGGCATTGTGAGTAGAAGGAGGCAAGGAATATATCTCAATCTTTACAGTGAAATCTGACTGTTTTCTGTGTTTGGTATTATTTTATCAGTTATCAAAAAGTGTGTGGTTTTGTTATCAACTAGGTTTTTAGTTCATTTACACATGATGGTAATTTTCTGAAATTTTCCTGAAACAAGCTGTAATTGACAACCGTAAGATCATACCATGGACACTGGCTAAGAGACAAAAGTCGCCCTGAGCCCTGACCCCTCTGTCGTCTGTGACTTACCGGCCGGTCTCCTTCCTCCGAGCCCGAGGCCTGGAGAGTCTGCAGCCCACTCTAGATGTGGACACCGCCCCCCTTCC